GAGAACCAGCGTAGGATTGTAGAATTTACTACCACTGAATTTATAATGATTTAATTGTTAAAATTTTTATGTCTATGTGTAAAAAATCTTTATAAAATTTTGAAATCGTCCATTATTTGAGCACGAAAGCACTTTTAACGTGACATTTTACCAGAGTGTTGTCATGCAATACGTGTACATTTACTTTAGCTGTTATTCTTAATGAGTTAGTTAAAGAACTATTCTGTACAAAACTAATTTTATTAAATAGCGTCTTTATAGAATAATACTGAACGTTTTGCAATATATCCAACCATAGGATGGAGTCTTCAGGATGATCACACCAATACACCAGGATAAATACAGGCAATCATTTTATAAATGATCACGTGACAACGCGGCACTCCTTTTTAGAACGCATTGATATTAAATATTGTACTTAGCTCGAGAATACAGGTAGGCATCTACTTACTAATGATGGTTCTTGCAAATCAGCCCATATTTCGACTTGCCTGGAGATGTCCACCTCTGCCAGTTGAATAACCACCTCGCCTATTATATCGTGCCTTTTCATCTTATCGAAGTCGTAGACTTTTAATCGTAATGATTGAGCGTTCATGTCTTCGTATGTTCCGGGAAACTTGAAGATTTCGTTAAACACAGGATTTAGTGAACGTTTCTGTAAAAACCCATTATTATAATTATTAATATGATTATTATTTCCATTATCATTACCATCATCATCAACATCATCATCATCATCCTCATCATCATCATCATCATCATCATCATCATCATCATCATCATCATCATCATCATCATCATCATCGTCGTCGTCTGCATTACCATCACTACCATCTTCGTCATTACCATTGTTATTTTATCATCATCATCCAGGGGCGGATCCAGAGATGTCTGAAAGGGGAGGGGGCGAAAGGCTGGCTGAAGTGGGACCGATCGATTTCCTTTGCTGCTTTTACTGCTGCTGTTACTCCTGCTACTGTTACTACTATACAGCTGCTGCTCTACGACTAATATTTACTTAAAATATTGCATTTAAATTATTATTATATTATCACCAGTATTATTATTATTATTATTATTATTATTATTATTATTATTATTATTATTATTATTATTATTATTATTATTATTATTATTATTATTATTGTTATTATTATTGCTAATAATGATTTCTTTAATAATGACATATTTTTATCCATTTGTTATCAATCCATTTAAAATGTTATGACTCATCAAATTTTCATCATGCAACATAAGATATGCCCTCGAGTAAAACAGTATGACGCGCAAAGTTTACATGTGCCGTATTTCACTTAAATTAAATATTTCATCTTAAGCCGGGTACTGACTGCGCGCGACGACGCTGACGCGCGACGGATTTTTGTATGAGGATCTGTTCAGACTGCCACTGACAATCAGCAGACGGCGTTGCGTCGTCTATCGCTCGCCGGAAGCAGAGCTGGATTCGTCGTGCGACGGTCGTATGACCACGTACGACGCAGGGAGTGCCCGGCTTTAGAGTTTAAGATATAATGTAACGACTCGCAAGGCGCCATAATAAGTTCGTAAAAAAAAGTAAGAAGAAACGTTATTTAGAAAATCAATGATTGCTAACATTAATATTTTAACGCTGTTACTGACAGAATTGAAATGATTGGTGGCACCCATTATATAAGGACGTAGCTATTGAAGGTAAATTAAAGATTACACATTAAAGAACATTAAATTGTAATAAAATTATTTCGAAGCTGCGTTTGTTTGGCGCCTTTAAGACGTGGGCTCATCCATCACATTATTAGGCCTATTCATTGTTACATATAAGCTATACTAGTGGATAACAATTGTTTAACCACTATATAAAAGCAGAGTACATAAAATTGCGTTTAAAAATGCGGTGAGAAAATTTAAAGCTAGTCATAGTTATACACAATGCGACGCCGTTTGCTGATTGTCGGCGGCGTCGTCGTTGCATCGTACCGACAATCGTCAGTGTGTGCTTGGCTCTTAAAAATAAACTGGAAACTGTTGCCAAACTTACGTCAAGCGATTTAACACAGGGGAACGTATTTTGTCATTTAAAATGCATATAATCAAACTTGACGAAAACATGTAATATTGCAATTAGTCGATGCGAATGCTTTGAACACGTGATGAAGATATGACCACCATACAATAAATTACTAACCTATTTTTGGGAAAAATAGCCTATATACTGTATAGGCAAAATATACGAAGATTCAGGCCTAAAGTATTGCTAGTTTAGTTTGAATCTACGTGGTGTACCGCAAGCATTAATACCTTATGGTTTGAATCTCATTATCATGTTTATAGTCTATAAAGACCTTAGGTGTGACGTCGTGGCACGGAGAAATGTGTTAGGTGATAAAGGTCTACATTATTACTTTATAAGAAAAAATATAATTATCACATCATATCGCAAAATATCATAACGTGTCATATCATTATCATAATTATCATGGGCCCACAGTATATCACATCATATCTAGGCCTAATAATATAATCAGATCATATCATACCAATCATCTTATATTATATCTTATCATATCATATTATAGCCAACTATATTTAGGCTATATTCATATTTAAAGTACTTGTAGTTAGGCTCGACGACTCGGAGAAATCATTGCAGCACCAAATTATCAAAATAACACCTTGTACTTTCCGACACTAATATCGAAGTACACCTCAGACAAATGTTCTCTTTCTTTCCATCTGTTTCTCCTCGCGCAATTAGGCCCATACAATGATATCATAATACATTACTTCCTGTAATCTATATCATATTGATTTAATTTAAAACTCTCTCTCTATCTCTCTGTGGACCCACCTGCGTATTTTTCAAAATTTCAATCAAAGTCTGGGGATTTCTATTCTTGCTTTTGGTTGTGAGGCAACGCGAGCCAGTCGTAATTGCACGTACGTGCTCACTGAAGGTTAGACTGATTATATTTACCTCTCTGCTCATGAAAGACGTATTTTAACCAATTGCTGTTTGTCACATTTAAAATGGAAATAAAAAATACTGTACTGCTTTTATATAGTTTTCAAGCTCCGTATGTGACATCTCATCATCATTAAACTCGTTTGAAATATTCTACTACCGTATCGACTTCTAATAATGTTGCGAAATCTTAGCGTCCATATTAAGATCAAAGCGGCCAAGCGTGCTTTTTTATTGGCAATGAAACGTTTAAGCACTTCACTTTACTATGTAAACAAGGCCAAACCTCGATTCACACGCACCGTAAGCGTTACTTCCGAAAATGTAAACATACTGCAATGTATAGACCAGTCATGAGTGAACGGAATTAAACACATGGAGACATCCGTCTAGAAACATAGGCCTATGCCTATACATCAATAGTCCAGTCAGAAATCACAATGAAAAACGAAAACCCCTCAACTGTCGATGAAACGCTAAGCAGTGGAGTTGTGGCTTGGCGGTTAATTTGTTTGCTTTCCAATCCCATGGTCCTGTGTTAATATTATCATTCGCAATTTTTTTTTCTCACGACTAAGGAGCATCTCCATTCCCTAAAACTCGTAAAGCATCACGTTATTTCATTTTATTTTAGACCCTGAGTTTCAGCCGACCTCCTAGGATAAAGTGGAAGCCACTCTATAAATATGGGCAAAGATAAATATTTTTCTTAAAATCCCAGTGCTTGACTGTAATAACTGTAACGTTTTGAAGACCTTTTTGTATGTTGACATCTTGCGTTATTGTAAGTTGTAATTATTATTTTTTTTATTCAAAATTGTGTATTTTATGTGGTGATGAGATGAATAAGGTGGAAAAACACTATACTTCGACACCAAGCGCAGACTCAAATTCAGAATTTTTACTATATTAAATTAATTAATGAATATATTACTTAATGCAAATTATATTCTGAATCTGTTATATGAATTTCCTCATAATGTATTTTTAATAACACGTTATTCTGCTTTAGAGTTGTTGTCGCTACTGAGGATAATATCGGGCTGCCCTGTAGTGGGCTAAGTACTAATTATGGAAATGTGACGTCAATCGTGCTGATGGGTATCAGAGGAATTACAATAATAATACTGTAAATGGTCTGTTGTTAATAAAAATAGCCATATTTAGAATGCAAAAATGAGTAGAATCAAGGACTAGATAGACCTAAGTGTAAAAAAATCTGCATAGTTTTCGTCATTCCAGTTTTTAATTTTAAAGAGAAAGTCATATTTAATCTCTCCTTGAATTTGTTATTGGACAACATAAAGGAAAGGACTAATACATTGATGATTTTTTTTTAAATGATCACGACGTACAAGCTACAAACGCGCCAAATGCTGGGCAATACTCCTATGCCCATTATACTGTATTCACTAGGCATGTTATATATCTACGTGTCTACCTATATATTTAGGTTAACGTTGTTTATATTTTATAAGCTCATATTTCCCATTTACAGTACACTCCCATTTACAGCCAAATTTTTAACAATTAGTAGTGATTTCAGATCGCAGGAAAATGACAAAATGGGAAGCTCGATCAATTTAATTCAAATTGTACTGTTGTATCCTACGCTAATTTTAATAAAAGAGTGGGCTCGATTTGCTGAATCGAAATTTAGATGATATCAATTCGTAAGAATACTCATTAAATTACATACTTTCGTCGTTTACCCACTTACCTGAACAGTGGAGATTTTTACTTTCCTGTCCGGGTCTGGCTCAAGCATCAATTTTACATATGGGTCGCTGCTTCCACCAAACGTATCCATTCGCGGTAGGTTAGAAGCTTTGGAGAAAAAATAAACACGACATGAAAAGATAGAGCGACAAAACATTGTCAACAATACATAATTCTCAAAGTTTAGAACTTATTTAGTATATTATTTTGTATCAATTCATTGTACGACATGAGCAAACTATGTTGCGCACCTTTAATAATGCTATACAGTATAATTATATAGGCCCAAATCTATAACATTATATAAAGCTACTTGTGCAACAAACAAAAAAGTCGTAATATCTGCTAAATTGATTGTATCATCACATTTTGTCGTGTTAGTCGTATACCGTATATTATGACAACTTAAAGGAATGAGACTAAATGAATCTAGCATCCAAATATTTGCGAAGGAGGGTTATTGGATAGATTTAATCTATCAAGTTAGCCCTGAGTACTACATTCGTATTATTTGTCTCTTCTAGCCTACAACGGCCTACATATATGTATGTATGTGTGTATGCATAGGCCTATTTAGATACTAAAGCCTATATTTTGGCAAAATGATAGCACGGGATCCTTGTACTGAGATATAGAATGCGGCCGATATGTCTGTAATTTATCTGAAACATTATTCACATGCGTCGCTTCCAGCAGAAACTACAGAGTCTTAAATGTAATATTAATCAGAATGAAAGTCGCTGACTGATCGTTAGCCGATGTAGCGACATCAAGATGTTTAGATGCAATGATGTTTTTTAGCTAGGCCTATCAATTATTTCAACAACACAGATTGAATGTACGACATCTCAACAGTAATCATAATATCACACGTTCATATGACACAGTAGTAGTAATCGCAGCATCATCTCATCATCTTTAAAGTTTGGTTATGAGTGGTCTCCAGATTAAATGCAGTAGAACCCCTATTAAGGCGAGAGCTTCGGGACTCAACAAAAAAAAGTGTCCCCTGAATAGGGAGCTGGCCGTAGTGATAAAAGATATTCTTTCATTTCTTGGCAGAAAAAAGTGTCTCCTTATTAGCGGTGTTCCAAAGGAGGGGTTCTAGGCCTACTGTAGAAAAATTACTTTCTAAGTTACCTTCTAATAGTTCCACAACAAAGTCCGATCGGTCAAAATCATAAAATAATTTGACATGTAGTTTGCCTCTGCTCCCTGTGCCTCCTTCGCATGATAATGTTATCAACTCCTGTCTTGGATAAAGATTCGTCTTTACGGTTCCAATCTTTGTCTCATAGTCGCTCCCGCTCGAGTCCGATGTTGCGCCTCCGCTGCATGTGTCTTTATCGGGGTCAGTTATATTATCCAACGGCTGTACTGATACTTCGTCGAGGATCCCAGGAATCTGTATATTTTTAAAACGGTATTAGAATAGTGTAATGAGTTAAAAAAGTAAATGAGTGGTAAAATCCAGATAATTCTGACATTGAGTTTTTAGCTTTTAATGAATATTAAAACAATGCAGTTGAAGGTGTATGCTTTAAGACATTTTACTACAAACTCATTTTAATGAAAACCAGCCAATTTTACAAAAAGGTATTGTGTATGTGTTTGTTGTTGGTGTGAAGATACTTTTTTTCGTTTAAAAAATCTGATCTTACGTAATACAAAGTTTCTTAGCTAAACATAGATAGTACCGGTATAAGCAGATATCTTAAATGATAGCCTGAGCGTCCTTGTCTTAATTCGCAGAATTAATTATTTAGAAAATATACGTTTTTATCTATTAGTACATAATGGTAGGTCTACTGTATGAGATGGAATCTGCTATGAAGCCCATAAACATACTTCTTAAATTAAGGATTATCCGATCACAGATCGAATTATTCAAGTTGGCAAGCCAACCTGAGCTGAGCAGCCCGCCAGAAAATTCAAAACCCAGACCTCTGGCCCGTGTCCGGGTTAGTTTCCGACAATCCTGTTTATCATGATTTCGACTCGGGACCTTTAATTTAGAACAAATTCCCTAACACCTTCAATAATCTAAAATTCATATTTAATAATTAATATTTTATTACCACCGATGAGTTTGTTTTAATTATAACATTTTCTGCGCTGTTTTCATTCTTTTCTCCTTTTTTCTTAGGCCGACACGATCCCCGCCATAGAAGGATAAGAGTGATAATCAGGATCGCCACAGCCATTCCGCACAAAGCACCAATGAGGTAAATAGACATCGCACTTGTCAATGTATAGGTCCTGGAAGAGCAAAACCATATTTCTATATTTATATAGGCCTATTGTTCATGATGAAACATATAACGTGGTACATGCAATACACGGGTGCATCTTATATATTCAATTAATAAACTTACACAGTTTTCTAAATAGGATACCTTGAAAAAAAATGTCTCAATGTAATACAGTAATATTGTCACAATGTACATAGTATTCCTCTTTGCACTGAGTAAACCCAACCACCTGACAAAATAAAGTGGTTTTTGATATGATATGAGTCTGGCTTAATTTGTTTTAGTACTTGCTTGTTTGTGGATCAATATCGTCTGCTGCGATGCGTAATTTATATTTGATCACGTGAGCAATTTTGTAAAGATAAATGTTGAAACGGAAGTTTTGAGCTCACGTACCGGAGTGCTCAACTTTCTTTGGTGTTTGGGCCAAATTGTAATTCTGTGGGGCAGACCATATGGATTGCCGTCTCCCACACAGTCTGCTTACCTTCTCAGCATGCTTGTACCCAGAGAGACAACGTAAAGAACTTGCATAGACACAGGGAATTATTGTCAACTAATGAATATTCGGACCAATATGATAATTCGTTTTAATATATGCGTTTACGTCAAAAGTAAAATATTTCATACTCCGTAATTTGATCCAATTATACGTATTATCACTAAACCATCTCCCAAAGCGAACGTCAAAGGCCCATCACAGTCAAGAAAACACTTAACTTAAATCTCATGCGCCAATGGCTTTAATTCAAATCATCATTTATCAATCAAACGGACTATTCAATTTAATATTAATGTATTAAAAAAATATTGGTGGCGAACGTAAACTCTGGATACAGTTCATGTTTTAGAATACTTTTCTGGCTATAGTACTGTCGAGTACCGGTAATGCCATCTCAGATTGAAAATTAGCATTTGAGTTGAATAGCTTGGTGGTTAATATGCTTGCCTGCCCAGGGTCCTGGGTTCAATTCCTATTTCGGCAACAGGATATTTTTCTCACGACCAAAAAAACAAAAACAAAAAAAAAAACAAAAAAAACAAAAAAAAAAACTCTACTCCCAAGCCTCATTGAGACTTTACATGTTTGTCTGGTGAAAGGATTGCCACTTAGTAAAGTGATTAATTTCGCTATTGGCATATTCATGGCACTGAACCTAAAAAAAAGAAATAAAATAAAATAAAATAAAATTAGGTCTTACTGTAGTGTGAAATATCAAGTCAATAGCCACGTGCTTCTGGACTTCAATGGTTTAAGTTATACAGAAAGGAAAATTATGTGTTGGGAATCGCTCATTCGCATTCATTACTAAGAATTCCCTTAGAAATAAAAGGTTTTCAATTATTTAACATGTCATACTGTATTTAGAAGAGATACAAATGGATGTTAAAATATAGGCTATGCATATTAAATTTCCCGAATAAGAGTTCCAATTCTCTCCATTAAAAACCACAGAGCAAGAGCTTCATAATTATAAAAGACAATCAATGAGTTAATATTAATTAACAGCAGGTCGTGTGTACATTCCGTGTGCTAATGTATATGCCATGCCGATGTCAAAACAATAAAAGTAAATTATGGCCAGGCGGTTCAGTGAGCGAATCGGATTAATGGTTGAATTTTCACCTTGTCTTCTGGGATGATAATGTGAACGCACGTATCCAGAATTAATCCTGTTGGAACTATTGCAATTTCCGTTATAGGTCTCTTTTTCAGTGGCGATCAAGTGGGGCGCGCACTCCCCTCCAAAAATTACTCGCGCCCCCAAGTTTTCGCCCAAAATCACTTGCAAGTAGTTAAAAATCACTTAAAATCACCTTATTTTGCGAGTTAGCGCCCCTCAACTGATCATCGAGCCCCACTTCACCTTCGGCACCTCCCCCCACTCAGCACCTACATTTCAAAAAACTTCTAGATAAGCCTACGCTTACTGCTCTTTTTATGACGATTGATAAGTTTCACATTATTGTCACACGATATTTTTTTAATATTTTGTCTTTTAATAAATTATTTTTGGTAAAGCTTTTTGGGCTTAGTAAAAAGAAAACTTTACCTAATATGAAACAAAATGTTTTTCTTTGAACCAAGACGAGAGTCTTGGTTCAAGGACTGAAAACACCTCTACTCTTAGAGACTTATAAGGCATCATTCCATTCTTTGATTGGCGAGTTTTCTACCAGAGTAGATGTTAGTCACCAGTATTTTCTATTGTAAATATAAATGAAACTAAATTAACTGCAAGAACATGATTAAATTGGGTAAATAAGCCTACATTTTGAAGACGTTTTCGTTACAAAACAATAATATTTTAGAATATCTATTTGAATACCGTATACGGCTAATTACATGCGCGCGCTCCACACCACAATCTTTATAACTGTCAAAATCGAAATAATTATTAACACATAATTGAAAAAAATAATAGACATAGGCCTATTTAATGACTTACTGATGGACATTCAACAGAGAATAACGATAATTACTTGAATAACTAGGCCTGTACATTTTAGGAAAGTAATTATGCTGACGAGTTATCTTTCCATGTATGCGCACGCATATTTTAAAAAGTTGATTAGAATTTTAAAGAATAGGCTTACATATTAAGATTGTTTTAAATTAAAACCGACCTTTTGATGAAAGTAATATAGACGTAAACAGTTATTAATGTACATAAAATTCATCAAAATTATTAAAGCATGTTAGTATATGGGATGGGAATTGCAATAAAATATTCTAGTGAAACATCGAAGAGTAAATAATGCTATCAAGTTATCGTCTCTGCCCCAACATAATTGCTTCCAGTGACGTCAGAGAAAACGATCGTATTTCAGAATTAAAACAGTATACAGTAGTCCTACCTGTTTAAGCCCGACGCTCACGGGAGCTATCTACTAACACCGATGAGCATTCGTGACAGTTAGCATAAACATCTCGTGCTTAATTTTCTGGTACTAATGAAAAAAGTCTTACTGTCGGTGAACTCATAAATAACATAGGCGTATGCAGATTGCTTCCATGTGTGCATCAGGCTTACAAAATTTAAATATGCATGAAGTGATGAGAGGTTCATTAAACTTAAAGGGGTTAGACCTATTTGATGCTTGGCTCGGAGTGAAAACCTCGACACAATGTTTATGCAACTAATATATTTTTCATAACGTGTTTAATGAACCGAATCATAATTTATTTCCAATAAAAATATATCAGGAAATAAGTGGGCCCATCGATACTAATCAAAACATTTAGTCACATACATTCATATTCTCAGTATAATTATGTGTTATATAATGTGAAACGAAGTTCGCCCTGCATTACAGCTAATCAGAAGACTGAGAGCTCAGAATATTTACATTTCCATCAAGAATATGATTGATTGATTGATTGATTGATTGATTGATTGATTGATTGATTGATTGATTGATTGATTGATGTCTCGAGAAAATGCCTCTTTAAACTGTGTATTGCCACTCAGTTTTAACCATAGAGAAAATAGAACTATTCTATTTTCTCTATGTTTTAACTAATGAATTATGTAAAATTTAATGCTGAATCTGATGAATATTTATGAGTAAATGGATATTGCGTCTGTAGCTCTGTCCACACTATCAAATTTTGTATCAAAGTGGGTGATGCTCCCATATATGGGCATGATTACGTCATATTACTCCCAAATATGAACATATCATATTTATTTGTCACATAACATTTGATAGTGTGGACAAAGATTAACTCCCTCTGCTCCCATCAACAATTAATGCATAAACAAGGTTACATTTATGCTTTACTGCTTCTTTCCACCATGGTTTTATATACTTAATCTCGTGTTTGCTTCCCTGCACACTCTACGCTTAGCATTACGCATTGGTTTCCTAGCAACATATTTTCTAAATCTCCTTCCCTTGTGGGGTAACATTTTTTAATTGGCATTGAAAGTAGGTTTTTTCAACTACGTCGTAAATATTCTAGGAAAATTGGGGATAGCAGGATAACCATTTATTAGACAGCAGTTTATGGAATGATAATGTATATTAATGGATTTTAATACAATTTAAAATCATGTAAACGGATTAGTGGAACAATCAATGAGAATGAGTCATAATAAGTGGGCGGGTTTAAGCTTCCACTAAATACTATATCATAAAATAATAATTTATAAGCTTTTAAAAAATAGCTCATAAATCTAAATTGTAAATTATGAAATAACTTCATCTAAATATAAATATGTAAAATATTCGATATAAATCACTAATCTTTCATTGTTTATGAATATACAGACAATTATATTCAATGAATTTAATCCAGTGTTTTATGCTTCCTAAATTGTTGTAAATATTTATAAAATAGTAGATTTCGACCTGTTGAATGAAGTAGATTTCGACCTGCTAAATGAAAGCCATTGAATATTATATTTTTTAAATGCTAACCGAAAGTGTTCACTACACATGGTAGGCTTAATAACAACTCCAACAAACATAATAGAATAACGATACCGGTAACACATCATTGCCTGTTAATAATATATCGATATTATGTATAGCACATATGTGCTTCACATTATTACAAGAGTTTTTGGTTCAAATACATAACATAGCTCTCTGGAGAGAATCAAACATACTGCAGCTAGTAATAATAATTAAATTGGTATTAGAACCTACCAGGAACCTCCTGGTGGAAAGAGAGATAAAAACAGCTAAAATGCTTTGTCCAGTGATACAAGCGAAATGAACAATGAGGGATTCAAACCACGTTAACACTGTCGAAGAAGGCGCTTATTCGAGCATTTAAGGTATACGATGTGGACCTATGTTCAAGCATGATACTATAGGAGGGCTTCTGCATACTAAAACCATTAGCGAAACTCCTCCACATGCTAAAACTAATTTGATATGTCACCGTAAATATATAAAAAAGTATCACATGTGCGTAAAAAGGTGTTTTCCA